AGTTCCCGGAAACTGGGACATACAACTCTCAGAGATTAAAAAAAAGTCAATTCATAAAAATTGACACTTCATGCATAAACAATGCTCCAACGTAGTAAATTTCTAGTGGCGAGCGGAGTTTATCATTAATGGTACTTGTTTTAGTTGAAAAAAATGTGATTTGTGAATATTGCGAGCAAGGTAGCGACGTGGTAAACGACCCTCCTCTGTAACTGCATCCGTTGCTGCACCATCATAGGACAGCATCCTATCTGTACGACTACTAATCCTGCTGATCATCGAGTAATTCGAGCCGAAACTAGCTATGTCTTCATTAGTTTCTGCCGAGTGCCAGAGCCGCTTCATGTATTATTTCTTAGCCTTTTGATTACAGACTTCTTAATGAAACGAGTTGTGGGATTTAATTCGCACACATGCATGCTCGGTTACTCATATATGCATGGATATCATTACATTTATAGGAAGCTTATCCAAGTTAACCATTGCTTACCCAAAGCAACATCTGTTCGAATCTCCCCAGTTTGCCATTCATAGTTTCTTGACTGAATGTTGAAATTGGTGTTCGAGATTTAATACATCCACAGAGACGCCATAATCTATGCAAACAAGGAAGGTGGACAGTTAAAGAAGAAACACAGAGGTCCCCTGAATCTACCAGAGCCTTATAGCAAGTATATTATTATACCTAGTCGCTTTATGCAAACTTTCAACCGTCTATGCTTACCAACTATGCATGACGTAGCCTCCTGACCAGGTGGTCTAAAAATTATCACATGGGCGACGTCTCTACAATACAATGACAACGTATCGAAAACAAAATAGGGAATAAAAAGAGCAGTGAACAACAAATGGAGATTGTAATTTTCGATTTGTTATAGTTAATGAAGCTGTAAAGCATTTGAAGTGTTATCGACCTCATTTGCCCAGTAGAACAATCATAGGAACAGGTGCCGTCCTTCAATTTTAATTTTAAATTTTGGGTGTGAAGCAACAATTCTCTTTGACCCACAAAGACCGACACTGCGTTCGGTGGACATATGGGGACGCCTTAGCGCAGCTGCGTCGCAATTACAAGGAACAAGGAGCTGCACTAGAATTCACCGAGTCACTGTGGAAAGAAAATTGGAAATTGTCAGGTCGCGGCCAACTAAACCATTTGTACGTATAACAGCTGAAAAGAAAAAAAAACGAATGAGAGGAAACACTAGGGCCACATCTGTGAAGTTAACTAAACAAGCTATATCTTAATAACTCACTTCCACTGAACTTCGAGAAAAGTGGCCAATAGCGCTCCAGATTACTGAGCTGACACGAAGGTGTCATAAGAAATACTTTTTCGCTTGTGCACGTAGCGTAGTGGTTAGAGGCTAGAGGCACCATGCAGTACACTCGGTTTCGACCCCGCGCCCCAGGCTCACCAAGCCTGCCATACCTCGGGTTCGGTAAATTTGTACCAGACTTGCCTGGGAGGATAGCAGCACTGTGTCGATGCATTGGTAGGCCATCACAGTCACTGTGTAGATCAGACATGATTCAGTCACTTCCAACGTTGCTTAATGAAAGCGAACACATGGCGCATTCCTCAGGGTTTGATTGACGCCAAGAACTTTAACCTTTTTTAGGTCAGAGAGAGAAATAATCTTTTTCAGTACCGACTTTTACTTAACCTCGGAGTAAATGGGTTATCTCTTGGTTTATTGATAAGTTTACAGCGAAACCAGACCTAAGTGTGGTACGTGCCACCTAGTCTAACGTCAACTGCTACGAGTTGGATTGTTCTGAAAGTGACGATCTTTAAACTCCCAATCTTTCCACTACGCCTCACTTCTTAGCCAAGGAAATGGGTAGCTTCAGCGATCGTCTCAATTACCAGTTCACACAGAATATTGGAGAATCATCAAGAAATCTTAGCAACAACATATTCGACTCAGGAAATTAAGGCGAAAAGGTAAAACTTCTATGCATATTGTTCTGCTAGGCCCAATTAAATAAAACCGTCCGATGGAAAAGTCGGTTTCGCCTGCAGAATACATTTCGAAATTTCGGTGAATCGATTCAAATTTTAAACAACATTCTTTGCTGTCGTAACCTTAGATCTGAATCAGAAACTTCTCCAGAATATTCCTTTGCAAATTTTAATTTGGCTAACACATAATGGATAGATGCAACTATACCGTACATTTTATGCTGTCTCTATTTCTTCGTGCTGTTTTTTACTGAATCCTCTGTGAAACCATGCCATCATCGAGAGGGTTGTTCACAGGATTTGAACTGCAAAACAGCAGCAGTTTAACCCCCAGCGTATTCATTGAACCTGCCGCGACACCGCATCCAGAAGCTGGGTCAAGAACAAACGAAAATCGGTAATCGACGCTGTCCTGGAGCAAGCCTGACCACAAATATCCAGATCTTTTGATCCACAAGAACATGGCTGCAAGTTAGATTTAGCAGTAAACTGGAAGGGTCTTATCAAGACTCCAGAGAAAAATCTTACCCAAGCAGCTGCACAGTACTTATGTGAAAGTAGCGCTGAAGATCTTCCGACTCTTCGTGAAGACAAGTCGTTACAGAATTAAGTAACCATTAATAACTACTCATTATTGATAAGATTATATCGACTATTCCCCAAGATTATATAAAAGCTCCTTAACTTAAACCACATGCTTACTGGAGAATAATAATCTTCCAGAACACTCACCTTCTTTTCTGACTACCAGGTAAGGTTGCGAATTCTCCAACACTAGGTAGTTCTCCGATTCGTACGTTCTTTATCGATTCTCACACTATGGATTCGGCTTCGAAGGAGCGTAATTTACACAAAGCAGGTCCATTTCTTGGTCTCTTCATCAAGAGAAATAAAATTTCCAACATCGTTAGTGTTCTCGAGTCACGACTATATACATCAACGTTGACCGAAAACAACTCCGTCTTTGATCTTTAACATATATAGCCTCATGCGTGCTGACTTCTAGGTACACGTGGCCCAAAAAGTTGGGCCTCTCAAATTCGAACAAGAATTACGTTGTTAACTTGGACTTGAATCAACTGTTCGAAAATTCGAACAGATATGAAACTGTAAGGACACCTTATAAACATCTCTCTTTATGCCTTTAGTGCAGAAAGATCTTCTCTGTAAGTAAGTCATTTTGTTGTTCAAGTTCTCATACAGAATTATTGTATATGCGGAGGAACTCAGGCGATGGTGCGAATATCCATACTCTGAAGGAACCGCGTCCTGCGGGATAGCTGTTGTTCCAAGAGGAGCAACAACAGTGCTCCCCGTTACAAGAAACTACATAGTCGTTATAACTCCAAATCTGCTGTAATATATTCCAAATAGCTGAAACACCTTTATATAAGTCGCCTCATGATTATCTTATAGTAGCGATAAAGTACCCTGAACTGCAATTTTCGCTGTACAGGTATGGTAGAGTGCCCTTACCCGTCATGGGTGACTCAAATCGGACGGATAAATTCGTTTAAAAAAAATTTTCTTCGCACATTACTTCGTGTGGAATACAGCTCTTCTCGGTCTCTGGTAGGCCGCGCCGAATAAATCTATTGAATACAAAAAATCTTGCAAAAGCCTGTGGGATGAAATAAACAACCGAAAAAGAAAGTAGGCTATGTATGACCCATACTGGGCAGTTTGACCCGGAATATACGAGTCACTTATGACTAATGTGACCGCTACTACTTTGATTAAACCGAAAACCAACATAGGAGTCTTTCTAACAAAAAAGTTCCCCATTCCACCAGGATACTGTACGTTTTCTGGAGCCCAAAAGAAAACAATTCTCTTCTGCTTCTTGTTGCCGAAACTAATAGAGCGCGATGATTTAAAAGGTAAGATCTCGCCCAGCATGGTATAATAGACAGCATCCACTAGGTCTCTAATGAGCGAGGTTGCTCCATATGTGATAGAAACTCTACATTTTCATTCTCAAACTATTTACTTCGTGCCCATAATCTTAGTTGTCGAAAAACTCGAGGAGATCATGGGGAAACCCGAGCAGTCGCGAAAGTGTTCAACAAATCCACCGACCGCTAACAAGCGCCGAATCCTATGGAAAAGAGACTATGAAGAAACGGACAACTCAACTCTTAGGTTCCGTAAATCGGTAGTCTTTAGTTTCCTAATTAATGATAGGGAATTCCGTGTGGTATAGTATATTCCACTGAGTCGTTGTCACGCACCGCCTATACAACCGCCAAACTCCAACCGAGCCACACAGCAACTTACTAATTGCTAAATAAGTTGAGTTCACCGTAACTAACGCTCGAACATGTATCAGCCGAACATTGAATCACTATCAAAGTCAACCTTCCACCCTTTGGATGATCAGTGAGCCCTTAGAAGAAACATTATTTTGGAGACGTACTCACTGAACCCATCCATTTATGCTTCGTCTTAGATATCGTAAATCAGAAAACGAAAGCAAGAGCAGCGTGATAGATGTCTAATGTCATTTAAGGAATGGAAATAATTTGAGTGTGTGGTCCAAAATAAATGTGGATATAGCCCGGTTCATACTAAACCACCAGACAGTTGGGAATTCAAAGTAGCTTGAGGTTGGTAGACAAGCTTAACGATAGATTCCTAAACACGACTGTCGATGAATAGAACCGTAGCAATTTGCGCAGCGGGTTCGAAACAGGATACTAAACTGGAACATTCTCACGATCTATTTTACTTCCCACCACTATTTTTTAGTAGCACTCCGTACTATCAAAGAGCACCAATGACTCCAAAACTAAGGTCTTGGCAACAAAACTAACAACCTAAAAAATTATCCAGAGTAGCTTATTTCTATTCTAAAAAAAGAGATGTCGAGAACTAAGGCCGATAGCGCAGTGGCCAACGCCTGTCAATAACCATAACACTTATGGTGTTGCCTTCTTCTTATGAACACAATCGCAAAAAACCCTTTATAACAGATTAGTTAATCAATCGGTCTTCAACCGACATAATTTTTTAAAGAGAAATTACTCATGATGAATTATCTATCATAATGAATCGCCTGATCGATATCAGTTGGTTCAATTTCATCCTGCTGGTCCAGATAACCTGAAAACTCTATGCTCACGAATACATTAGCAGTCTTTAAACTAAGGGATACTAGTTTTCAATGCCAAACTTACCAATATTGTCATTATCCTGGTCAATATTTCCAGGCGACAACATGCCTGCCTGAGGTATCCGGTAACAAGCCACCACGCCATCTTCGCCACCCGAAACTAGATGTCGTCCAGTAGGAAGGAACACCACCGTTGTTACCTATAACACACAATTCAAATTCGCACATTTATGGCAACTATTACGTATTGAGATTTATCAGAAAACACTTACAGCCGAAGCATGAGGACTAGGCAGATGTTGAAGGGCAGAAGGTTGCTCGATATGCCAGAGTAAGATCTAAATTCGTATAAATAAAGCATTTAGTAAGACTTGAAACTTTTTGTCTGTGCTTATATGTGCACGTTTATATGTAAAAGGATCTGTTGAAATTACAACGAGGTATAATATAAAGTTAACATTTCTCGACCTGATTGTGATACGCGATAAATAATAAAATGAGATAGCATAACACATTGACGTTAATCTCTCGGATGTCGAGGATAACTCTCCCACGACCTAAACGCGTCAAATGGTGGTCAAAATTTTCTGGACATTAAACGATAAAATTTCGAAAGCTAGAGAACTTATGGCGTAGAGAACATCACCAGGCTACAATTGGCTGGATTTCACTATATTTAACTTGGCACACATATTACTGTCAGAATCTGAAGCACGAAGGCCACAATCCGTTCTAACAATTGAAAATACAAAAATACGGAGTTGTTGATCAAAAAATAAGACCTTACATGCCCTGCGCAAGCGATTGTGACGATTTTCTTACAACGCCGTATAATCTTAACTAGAGGACTAATGAGGTTTATCACTTAACAAACTTCTAAGATTTCGCCCTACCACAGTTTTCATGTTAGTCTTTAAATTAAGACATTCATAAAAATTGACCTGATCGACAAGACAGACTGCATGAAATTCCCCTACTAGTCAACCTGATAAACAGAAGCTTCAGCGCAGTATATAAGCTTGAAAAGTACGTATGTATTGATGAATCCATTGTGCCGTTCAGAGCTACAGTGTCTTCAGGCAGTACATCGCATATAAAAGATACAATTATAGACTCAAGTTATTCAAATTGCGCATGAGCTACAACTGATAGTTGGCACAAGAACCTTTCTCTGGCTGAGAAGTTATTGAGAAGAAGGACTCATCATATTGGCATCTGCTGGAAAAACAGTAGAAGACTTCTCATGTAAGTATAAAGTTTAACAGTGAAGGTTAAACAACGTGCAACTGATAGCCCAACAGACGAAGCGGCACAATAGTACTGAAATGGAAAGACAAGAAGGAGGACATTACTATGATGCCCACAGTTCATGGCGTGTTGCTTTCCTCGAGTTCATCAAAAACGGAGGTGATTGAGGGATAAAACCACAGAAAGTCTCTCATGAACACAAGTGATCAGATGCTAGCCTACTGTTCATTTGCAGGAGGGATCAGTAAGAGGCACGTATATTTCGGTCTTTTCATGGCGTATACGCATTGATTTTTGCCCACATTTTCTACACACAAGCCTTTTCCAATTAATCACTCAAGCGTGTCTGGTGAACGCATGGGAGATACGTAATGAGTGTGCGGGAAGTCATCAAGCTGAATAACTTCAAGATGGACGTCCACTCGAGTAACATTCGGGGTGGAACTGCTTCGACATCATCAACTTCGCATTTTATTGAAGAAAGTGATATCAAGGGTTCAAACAGAAATAAAATGATGTGTCGGTTGTTACAAGCTCATTACAGGGTCTTACAATCGGACTGCAATACGTATCAGAAATGGTCGCACAAGATACAGCCGTTGTTTAAAAAAAGGCCGCATGTAATGTTTCAGCAGACTTCAAACCAAGTCTACATCATCTGTGTGAAATTCTTTTGAAGGGTACCTATTCTAGATAAGGATTATAAGTACTATAAGAATAGTCTTGATTGTATGCAAAAAGTGAAAGTTGTATTTGGAAACTGTAACTGATTTCGTGTAGGGATAAATTATGCCAGTATGACCGCCATCGACTTCGATTATAGACAAGAAGAACAGGATGTTACCGTAATTAATTACTATTGCTAAATGACTATATATATATTTTTTTTATATATATATATATACATATATATGTATGTATACATACATATGTGTATATGTATAAGCGCATGTATATACATGCATGCACATATATTTTATGCATATGCAAACTATAAAGTGTAGGTTGTAAAATAAATGCGAGATAAAAAGAGGACTTGATGACTGCCTCGAAAGACAATCTGCTGAAGCACTCTCATGGAAGCATGTGCGCATTGAGCCACTCTAAGTAAGTCTGCTAAACGGTCTTATCATTATCTTATCACAACGAAAAGCTTTCCCTAAATAAAAATCAAATTCCAATGTCCAAGCAGAAGCACTTCTGCACCTATTCACTAGCCGTACTGTCTATGCGGCGCACTCTCTTCAGTAGCAACACTATCCGGCTGCAAAGTAATCTCGTCCAAAAAAGTTTTTTTTTCGCAAACTATTATTATTAGCTAACAGATTTTCACAATTAACTCTTGATATTAGATCTACGTCCAACGAGTTATCGATAGAATACAAAAACTGCTATGAAAAACCTCTTCTAAGCACTGAAAATACGTGACATTGCTCAATGTCACGTGGTCAACAATGTGTTAAATACTGCCAACGATTTATCTATACATATAATTTTAAGGTAGCTGTTAATAATAATGCTTAATACGCTGGGAATGAAACCGTAAGTTAAAAAACCTTCACAGAAGCTAACATGACCATCCTCCGGTAATATTTCCAACTCAGGCGAACACAGCGCAGTGGTTAGAACCGCACTGCAATACACACGTCGTTGGTTCACTCTCTAGCCTTCGGTTCACCTGCCTTCCATGTCTCCGGGGACGGCAAATTGGTACCAGAGTTATTTGAGAAGTTTAAAAGACTGATGCAACACATCACTATGCAACCAACAATCATCGTGCAGGCCAGATTTACATTTATTCCTCATATAGTTCTAATTTAAACTTAACCTCACTCGCTTTTTTCAGAGCTCGCTTGAATCGTATCCATGTAAAACCCTAACAGCCGCAAAAAACCAAACTTTTTGCTACAGAACTGCCTTCTTCATACGTGAATTGAACGAGGCAATGAAGAAGGATGCTTTTCATTGGTTTCTGCTATCATGCTGTAACACAGTCGTCCTTGGAAAGGTTAACGTGAGCGCTCAAAAGTTCAATCTAAAGCAACAAAAGAAAACTAGCCTTCCCGATTTTCTTGATCTCCGACTTTTCGATTTTGATTTTTCAATCTGGACTTTCCTGATTTTTTTTTCTTGTTTTTGATTTTCTTCATTCTTGAATACTCAAGTAAACCTTTCCAGGAAAAACTACATTACAAAGTGGTCCCGAATGGAAAGTAAAAATATACTTGTTTTAAATACCATAATATACCTAATGGTAGAGACTAAAATTGCGTGAGTTCAGGTACAGCATACCTGACTTCTTGTAGGGAGTGTAGTGATGAAGTAACGGTGAATGAATGAAGTAATGATGCAGCGGAGTAATGATGAGTAAATTTGCGAAACGGATAGACACCTTCAACCTCGCATATGCAGTTGGGAGAAGCAAATTTTGACAATGAATTACACGAACGATAGATGGATATGATGGCGAATATTTTGAAATTTACATAAAACCATTTCGTAGGTATCAGAAACATCAACTCGTAAAAATCCTGAGGCGTTTTGGATCAACTCTAGAAACTCAAAAATAAGCATGGACGAAGTATACCACGTGAATAAACATGAATTAGTAGCACAATATCCTCTTGGTTTTACTATCGTAGACTGCATTTGTCATCCAATGTGAGGTTTTTATAAGCGGTATCTTCTTAAAATGAATATAGAATGAACAGGACTACCAAAAAACGGTTAGGTTTTACAAAGATGTGTACTACGACCTTGCTGCTCGGTGTATTTCCGTCGACTTTACGGAAATAATTGACCAAGTATGAATAAGAATGTTCGCAGGCTCCAAAAGAAGCGAAACACCGAAAGGTTGCCCATTGTGGAAGGAACATTCTGTCAAGAACTTTGCATCAGATCGTCAACGCCTAGTAAATTAAACCTGCCGAGTCTAATTTGACAGCGATACTGAGACCTGTTGAAAAAGACGTCTAAATCGACTGATTACTATATCGCATACGTTTTTACAGTTCGTTTAAAATGCTTACTAACTACCTGCCCATCAAGGCTGCTGCTCGCAAATCGAGTTCCATCCGCACGTTCATCTATTGCAAGTGATAACACCGGACTTCGGTGACCGCAATATACTCGTTCAACTTTCGGCCTTTCGCCGCTCCTTTAAAACGAAGGATTTTGTTGGTGAGAGGTATTTTATGTCAATCAATATCTACTTCAAAGCAATGACAATATCTGTTCTTTTCAAATCTTACACAGAATGCAGCTTGATTGTTTTGTCATCGGAACCAGTTAGTATGTCGTCTTCACCGGGAAGGAAAGCCAAAGCTCGAATTCGTTTAGAGTGAGCTATAAGAAACAGTAGAAACGGAAATTCACCAAATAATTAAATATATGACTATGGCAAGTCGATGTCTTAACATATCACGTCATGCATTTTGGGGTGTTCATGGGTACCAAACTGAAATTTACAGTGAGTGGTTTACGAGTGTCTTACAAATTGAGGAGTCCGACATTCCCATCAAAACGCTGAGCTAGCAATAAACCTATGACACTGCACAGCCGAACGAGCTTGGCTATCTTACCACAAAACCCTAGCTTGTGTGGATTCTCATGTCGCTTGATTTAGCGGAACCAAGTGGGTAGTTCTGACATACCACAGAAACAAATGCGACCTTAGCAATAACGGTTCGAGGTCTTCTATATCTACAGGCATTGAAATAGAAACAGCTGAATAAATTGACAGCAACTCTCATACCCACCTTCTATAGTTGTCTCAGATTTCAACGTTTTCGCATCAATTATGTGTAGAACTCCTTCGAATGTCGAAATCGCAAGACGTTTACTGCCGTTTCCCTATACATATTAAAAGCACTTCAATCAAACTGAACAGAAACGAAGTCACAAAGAGAAAAAGCAAATAAAATTCTCGACACACTGCTACTTCAAGAAGAGATCGGGTGAAATGAATAACTCACGAATGATAATGCGCCAACAGATTTAGCATACTGAAAAGGCTCCTGCCGGGAGACCTTCCCATTCAAGTCGATTTCCTTAAGAAATCCAGAAAACGCAGCTGAAATTCAATAATTGCGTCTTCTGTGAATAACTGTTGAGATGAAGCTATCAACATACTTGTGATGTAGTTTGTTTTAGTCTTTGCGATTCGTACGTGCCATGCCTCCATTACACCGAAATCGTGGGTCATTACAACTGGACCTTCGTCACCGAGTATAATCTCGTAGAACATAGAGTCAATTGTCACAAGGCAAATACCTGACTGATCCAATAAGTTTCCAGAATAAGTATACAAATGAATTAAACCTATAAAGAAGATAAGCAAAGTACTTACATTTGCCGTCGTTAGTGACATCAGCAGATTGCACAGCAGTTCGCCATTCTTGGATCTCAACTTTACTCGTGAGGGTAACGACACCACTAACAGTCTCGTCCCTAAAAAGATGAAACAACAAACAAGCAATGAATCAGTCGCTACAAGCGCATAAAGAACAACGCAGAACAGAAACGAACATTCTCCACAATTTCACTGAATCCTGTCCGACTGTCACAAGTCCAACAAGTCCATTACCGGCTCTGAACGCCCATATACCGACCAATCCACGATTGTGAGCTGGAATCAACCCTTTTCTTTTGGTACTTTTCAGCGTATTCCCACTGATTATCCATTTGTTTAAAATCTTAATTGGTAATCCTTTAAACTCAGCGTTGCAGAACACAAATCCCTACCACTTATACCACTTCACAACAGTAAAACCGACCTCTCGGCAAGATTCAGCAAACTGGTTTTTGGAAAAAGAACGTAAAAATGTGCCTACTGCTTATATTTAATATGGTGCCTAGTGAGCACCTCAAATTTTACAAGATATGCCCAGGATTCCTGTAATTTTCACAGGAACAAACTAATGGTATAACACATAATACCCTCAATGAAACTTCACACTCACTAAGAACGAACCTTTACTTTCGAACTGCGATTTGAACTGAAGTGCGGACCATTACCTACAATTGTCACCTAGGCGGAAAAGGAGTTCTACTGGGCTTTTTCCATTGAAAAGCCAAGCCAAGGATAAGCTTACGCCACATGGATTGGCGGCAATACAACTACGAACTCCTGAACACCTACTCGACAACAAAAGTCTTAAAAAGACTTTGGTTCGAAAATTATGATGTCTTTCACGACTAACAAGCTAGCTGAGTCCATTTCCAAGCACACAGCGCTATGTACAGGAATGGACTGCTAGTAAGCGATCGAGTTACTCGATAACTGACAGAATTTGAAGCGCTGCAAGTCCTACAGATTTCTTGGGTCACACTTTACCGTTTTTCTGTTTGCAGATCACTGTGTAGTCATCGACCTCCTCCGTATCGATCATAGCAACCATTCTGGCAGCGAAAGATGTAGGTGAAAGATGAGATCTGAAATGTCAGATCATGTTAATCGTTAACCAGGTCAGATGCTAATACTGTTTTTACCCTATTTCTTCGCAATCAGAGATGCTATGGAAGAGAGAATTCTTACGTTACATTAAGTATCAAGCTCTTTGTTAAAATTGAAAATCCATTCTTTCTTTGATAAGCTTATACGAGGTTGATATACAGTCTTTATTCGGCTAACGTTTCGACGGTTTCGTCTTCATCAGAGGACCATCGACTCGAATCATGGGCTCTGATGAAGACGAAACCGTTGAAACGTTAGTCGAATAAGGATTGTATATTAACCTCGTGTAAGGTTATCAAAGAAAGGATACATACTGATAAGTCATAGCGATGTTAAAGGAAAGTCGGGTTTGAAATACTGGACATCCATAATTACGCATAGGTACGAAGCTTCTCGCTATTCAAGTACACTTCCCACATTCTTCATTGCGAACCGGTATTTCCTTAGGAATATTAGATCAGTTACGCAGCGATTGTCAGGAACTCGTCGTGTTAAATGTATGCATAGCGGAGGTCTAAATCTATTTTGGTTGAGATGGGTGACCTGTGCAAGGCTTTGCGGACTAACAAAAGACCTGAATACCACAAACATGGGCGAAGTTACCAGCCCACCCAACTACCCCAAACTCTCCTCTACTATCATCTCGGAGAGAGAAAACTGATGTCTAAGTTTCCTGGGAAAAGCTTCCTCCGACAAACAAAAAGCTGAAAAGTGTCCGTCGTGAAGATCTGCGATGACACATGAAAGGCTAACCTAGAATCCATGGAGAACCACGCACGGACAATCACGACCTTGCGACATTCATTTAAAAAGACAAAACCCTTACTTGGCACCCAAAGCCATACGTAAATCGAAACGCCTTCGCGGATGAGGAAAGCAAAACCACGAACGGAATGAAGGGAAGCTGGCATCCCCACAATATTCCATGAACTATGGGATAAAACGTGAAGTAAATGCAAGTACCTTCAACAACACTCCCTTAGAATTGAAATCAAGTCATCAGTGGGAGACTGGAAACTTCTCACTTCAAGGCCTACCGCCTCATCGAAGCGTAGGATGTTCTTCGACGACAATTGGTGACATTCGGCAGATGGTTTGTACTCTAAGAAGAGTTACTCGTGCTGTGGTGATTGAAATTTCCATTCGAACCCCATGTAGTAGCAAGCCGGTGGCAAAAATCGTCGCCATTATGTAGAAATTTGAATCGCAAGGTAACAAGTCTGTTCCACCATGTCCAGCGAATACCTCTGGTGAGAAGCTGGAAATGGCTCAGCACTGCCTGCCCGGCAATCATGGAAAAGGGGCCCAACTAGCTCGTATCACTGATCAAGAAAACGAGTTGTAGAAGAGAAGCATCACCTCGAGAACAAGTCACTCAAACACTAGGATGAAGATGCAAAGCTCATCGCTCCTCAAATGCAAAACCAGTATGGGCTTTAGAAACAAATCGACTTCCATCAAAATCTCAACAACTATTTGCAGTGACATCTTCGTCTTAGACGGGAAAATTCGCCGTTACTTACCAAAAGTATCACGACGTCCGATCCGCGAACACGGATGCACATTTAGAAGATGGACGAGTTGTCCGAACACGGCCGTTTTAAAGGGGAGTGTCTTACCGTCCACCAACAAACGGAGCGTGGAATGAGCAGTGGAAAGCCTGGCGTCGCGGTGGTATGAATGGAACTGCATGTTGTTCAGGTGTGATAGCATCAGACCTGTCAGTACAGCGGTACTGAATTTATTGCTGCTTCCTCACACTTGAATATTTTCACGTTTTTTACTGGAAACAACATGTTCTTTTCTGCATTCCGGTTTTTTCTACTACTTTCATGGCAGCTTCTTTGGTTCGATGGTACACAGAATGATACTAGTGGTCTAGTAGTGGTTTTTTCGTATGGACAGGTGTAGCGCAGTGGCAACAGGTCTCCTATAGAATACACATTGTCCTTAGTTCGATCCTGCGTCCGGGGCAAACTATTCCTTTCTTTCCTCCAGTGTTGGTGAATTGGTATCGGACCCCCTAATGTGTAGGTCGAACACACATTCAGTGGCATGTGCAGTGCTTAACACTTTCGCTATAAAGAGACCTCCAAGAGTTTTACAGTTCGTTGATGAAAACCACTTCCAGCTTTAAAGCAGAATATCTCAGCTTACGATAAGCTCTATCAATTACAGTAAAAATTACTAGAGTCTAAAGATTTCTAGGGACAGGTGCTCTTCATCGCACCCTGTGTTCGTTTTAGTCTCTGAGATATTTACCCATTACCTTTATAGTAGTTGTTGTTGGCTCCTTCATCACGAAATAAACTCTTTAGATAGGTCTATAGGGAAAGTTGGTCAGTGTTTGCGATGAGACAGAAGGCAGTGCTACATTGTGCACTCCTCGTTTCCGCTTCGCATTTTAGTGGGGTCACGAGAAACCTTTACTTTGTAGTGGTTCTAGTCGTGCAATATTCTACGTGGAATTTACAGACTTTTCGACTTTTTTCGTTATTGTTTGGTTCTTGAGTTCCCGAGTTGTTTCTGCTTCCCTGCCATCTCGCAGGAGACAAATCCTACTGTCGCTTGCCGTTCGCGGACGAACTGTGTTTTTGTTTTGAAGCGTGCCATTCTCTATAGAAAGTTTAGTGGCTTTCTGTTTAGTTTCGAATATATGAGAAGGTGGTTTGAAAAATCAACTATGATGGCTATGTGGAGAAATGGAATAGCCAGAATGAGCAAAAATTACTTTTTCTTTTTATTTGTTTCATACATGATCCAACATCTCCTCTATCACACAGCACGGATCACAGCACTTCTCGCGTTCGGTTCGTTTCCTCGCATCCATCATCCACGAAGATCCTCAAATTTTCTTTGCTCGTAGATTTGACTGCTGCCGGAGGATTTCTTCGTTTTCGTCACGAATGTAGTTTGAGTGTTGCTCGAGTTGGTTTCCTCTAGAACCCTGGAATGGCAGTGCTAGGGCGTTCTCACGTGTGCTCGAGGAAGCAAGCTTGTCCCGCAAAAGTTTGGTGCCAATTTCCCGACTCCGGAGGAATGAAAGGCTAGATAAACCCGGTACGGGGTCGAACCATCACCTTGGGTAAGTCTCGCAGTCCGCGCAATGAACAGCAACATTACCACTGTACTACCCGTTTCCCAGAATCACTATAGTTAGGAATATTAGTACTTTTTAGGGCATGCTTATTTAGAAGGTTTTGTTTTCTACGTTGCGATTAGTATCTGATTGGAATGTTTTGGTAAATTCCAAATGAGTAAAATAGCACCACTGTTGCGGCAAAAGTAATAGGGAATTGAAGTGGGCGGTCGACAAATTTGACTTGTCATGTTACCTTTAGCATGAGCGTCGACAACCTCGAGTAGAATCACACCGTTCTGTTTGTGCTGCGCAGTAGTAGCGACTGAACGACGCTTGCATAACTTCAATGATGTCGAGATATTTGCAAAACTCCGGACCGCAGGTGTCTGCGGTGAGGAACGAACGCGCTATTGTCTTTTCCGGGGAGTAACGCGTTCACCACCATACCATGTGGGTCCTTCGTTTCTCCTGTCTCTCAGTTAGTTCTATTGATCTCTGCTATCAGCAATCACCCGTCAACGGAATTCATTGAAACTATATTTCGCATTATACCCTGCCATTAAAAAGAGTAGGCAATAACTGCCAAGGTTAAAACTGTGATTATGACTACAGCCTCAGCTTAACTGGGCTCAATGCCGATTCACATAACTTGCGAAAAAGCCGAATTTTTTAGCATCGTTGTTGTCGCAAATTAAGTAGGTGTGCCAAGACCGGATATGAGAGCTGATTTCACTACGAGGATAACATACACCACGACAGGAAGGACATGCCTCGACAAGAAAGAATACATATTTGTTAGTAATACCGAGGTTAAAGGAAAGCCGGTTTCGAAATATTGTTACGCTAGCTGGTAATGATACGGACCTTTGTTGAATGAAGTGCCGAAAGAGCAAGCTGTTATCACCGGGCGATCACTGTTATCAGAAAGCAGCATCCTGTATAAAAGGGCATCGCCGAGTGATAATGCCTCATTCAAGAAATTCTCCGCTGAGGAAGATCCGACTCGACATGAACGCGAAGACGCCACAACGAGAAGGCGAATAATTGTGGGCCATCGACTCGGATCATCGGCTCTGGTGAAGACGAAGACATCGAAAAGTTAGCCAAACAATGATTGTTTATCAAACCGGCGTAAGCGTATATAAGAATATATACGCTACTTCGTTTGGCTCTCCAGCAGTTAGGAGCTTCCAAGTCATCCAGAGTTCACTTCATACGCTGTGCGAATTTAAAAATAATCTGGAAATGGCTGAAGCCAAACCAGATAGTCAATGGCCATTCGCTACAGAGATCTTATCTATGTTACTTGCAGCTGTCCTGAGAAAGAAAACGCTCACAAAACGACTCAGAGTGCTGCTTTTACATGAAAACATTCGGTTATACATCGAAGAATTAAATCGGAAGCAGCTTCAGCGAATGGCTGGCGCACATTAGACACTGTGTCACGTAGACATAACGTTTAGACCATCGTTTATTGCGAGTCCTGAAGCATCGTCTGCGTATTATGAGGTTCGACATCTGTGATTACAAGAGATCAAAGACTTATCGACAAATGATATGTATCATCTATGACGATGGTGAATACATCGTCTAATAACGTTGTGTTCTAGGTAAGTAAAATATTAGGAAGTGGATCGTCGTTTTATGTTGCTGGTTAAAAATGACTTAATCCAACATTGGCCGGTCGAACACTGGATTCGACGAAGACCTCGGATCTCATCACGGAACTTAGGAGTACCCTAATCACCTTTTCTGCAATCAAGTACTGAAATGCTATTTACAGGTTAGAGTTACAGTACAGGTAATTCTGGAAAATTTCACATATTAGCCGTCCATCTTGACATTGTCGTACTTCACTATCGCTATCGGCTTTTATCCGAAATGTGTGCTTTTAACCGAAAAATTAGCATAAAGCAGCTGCTACACCGGCATTGACTCAGTCAGCTGTAAAGCTGTTTCAAGTCAAGAGGAAGATGAAAACTTGGAATGCAGATTCTTCGTAGTCACGTTCAAGACCAAAAAGACCTTATTAATTTCTACTTCATTCCGAGTTAACCATGTACAGCACTAGTAAAATGATCTCGACCGAGTCACACGAATAGCGCGAATCATCTGTGCCAAAGGGTCCAATACAATGAAGTTTATTTTGTTTTCTGATAGTTGCAGTATGATTCACGTTTATTAACCAGTCGATGTGAAGCCCTAGATGTTTTTGCACGTGGATGGCATCATCGTGCAGTGAATCTACGAGAGATATGTTCGTCATGTTCCTATGCCTGGCTAGGCAGCGAGATCTGGGTGATTTGGTTCGGGTGCATCTGCGAAATGTACACTGTGCCCTCGTCCGAAATCGCCAACGAGTGCGGGTTCTCGATTCCCTAAATCAGACACATCAACAGGAATAATGTGCACTTGTGAAAAGACATAGGTTGTAATAAATAGTAACTTCTAAGAAAACTATTTCTTTAAAACATCAACTTTGTTTGTGACCTCTTTAGTCCTTCTTTGTTGTCTGAATTTTTCTACTCATGTTTTACTTAGGACGTTTTCATTGTTAGAACTGATAGTGCTGCCTCTACAATTTTATCTCCAAGTTATGCTTAGTATAGCACATTCCATGAATTTCTTATGTTTATTTCCGCATTAGATCGCTTGAAGTAAAAGGCTTGTCGTTCTTCGCTAACTAATCTGCACGAGGTTTTCTCTTTTTTTTTCTTCGAAAGAAGAAGCCAAACAGATCCCGAGCGTTTGAAAATCGATAGCATTTGGATACGTGGGTGGTTCCTTTTCAATTCAAATTTCAATTTCCTATTTCACATCATATCCTGTCGTCAACAATTAAAGTCAGCAGCAAATGAAAGGTTGACGTTAATCTATAAAGGTTGATTAAACTGTATGTGGAATTCAGATCATAATAGAACCTTGACGAAAGTATTGGCTTTGCCGTTGGTCATATCCATGACGAATAATTGTGGAGGAAGCTGGTCTTTTTCATCACGACCTGTTACACCGACCAGATAATGCTCTGGAAAAAAAAGGTTCGTATATTAATATTCTGTCTGTTTCGATTCAAAACGCTCACTCTTCTCTCTAATAGCATACACTCTTCCGATCTGGTCGGCGCTGGTGATTGGAATACCTGCTGGAATAGTTCGGTGACCTTCCGCCAGACCCGCCGAGAAGCACTGTACTCTCTCATTCTCCCTAAACTGTATAATTAGCACCATCTGAGCTGAACTCATTAGTCGTAAGTCACTGGTTATACAAATCTTCTATAGAACATACGAATCTTTGACGGCAAAGTTTGTGGTGATCAGTGATTAAACTTAGCTGACAAAAACTGGTATCTGCATTTATTTTTATCATGTGAGCGTTTCGTCGTACTTTGTAGAAGTTATATTCGACAGAAAAGTTACTTCTAGCAAAGCAAACAAATTCTTCAATGCACATTTCCTTCAGACCAGTACGACCACTCTTATTAGGCTGATCAAAACCATTTGTGAAGAACACTTTCATTAAAAATTTCGTATAAATGGATGACGAACAAAGTTTGCAGCAAGAGATTAATTCTTCCAAACGTGGGAGTTTCTTTGGGCAAAGGCCCTGTGATAGACTTTCTAGCTTGCTGTCGCAAATCCACTCGAGACGTTTTCCACTGAGGCCTCTCATGGTATTATACTGTTGAGAAATCTTTTAAGAGTATGCTTCCCATCTGGAGTTACTAGTATCCTGCAGAATGATTGATTTGCTCTAGTTCAAAAGTTTGTGAACATGTATTATTCCGTGTTCGGTGATTGAATGAATAATAAAAATTCTAATGTCCACTTTCTACATGAAGAAACCTTCATCTAAATGGATGTTTTTAAAGTCAATAAGTGTTGATATTAGTAATCGAAAAAAGTTCGACCTTTCCATCAAACGCAGTGTCCAGGTACCGACAACAAAAAGTTCTTTAGTCCAAAGCGATTAAAAACTGAAAGGAGCACCACACTGGTACTCACCTCACTGCTACTATTTGCACAGCAACTTTATTTAACTGTAGGGGAGTTCCTTAATAGTACTATCGAAGAAAAGGAGCTTAATAAGCCGCTCATAACATTTTTTATGAAATCAACACCACATCTTGAGTCCACGTTTCTCGGGTTTCCGTCACCATGGAATGAAAATAGAATATTTGATCCGTGGGTAATCCACTCGAGTGCATACGGTCCTGTTAATAGCTTTAACATACGAGCAGCCCAGGATATTCAAGCTATCTCTCACTTTGGGGAGGAAATTTGGAGAGGAAAAAGCAAACATATCTACAAACACTTTGGGGAGGAAAAAGCAAACATATCTACAAACATTATTCTGGATGCCTTGAATGTAAATACTGACCTGTCGGCAACACAAATCAGGTTCATATCTTCTATGAGAGCCAGTGAGTGCGGAATGACGAACTCCGATGAACCTAGTTCATCTGTAACAACACTGTTTTTTATACTCAAGACAATACCAGAACTATGAAAAGGTTCTTAATTCAATCACTCACATATCCATCTCTGAAACTAATCGATAAGAAAACTTATTACGGAGACTAGGATGTGTTTTTCTGAGGTGATTATAGACTAGTCATTTATTGCAGTAAATAAGTTTCCCATGTTTTTGCTATATTACTGATATTTTAACAACTGAACATCACGAAAAGCACTCGTGTTTCTTTCGTGGTTTGAGTTGGTTGAAAATTTTACCGTTCTCCTGAATTTTTAAAAATAGCTGAAGGAATCTACATCCGCGTCATAAATGTTTCTTCTCATCGTAATTTTAACTCTTCTATAACTATGACAGGTACAACAAGTTTGGCTCACCCACAGCAGCGCCAAAAGTGCCGACGAGTTTTCCGGTCGGATCGAATTTCAGTACACGGTTATTACAGTACCCATCAGCGATGAAGAAGTAGCCATTCTTGGCAACTGCAACGTCGGTTGGCATGCAGAAGTGGTGATCGTCATCTCCGGGGACAAGCTTTTCTCCAATTGAGAGGACTGGGCGGAATGACGAGTCCAGCTTATGTACCTGTAACAAAAAATTCAAGACTATTATACTTTTCCACAACAACAACGTGATTACTGCTAAAGTATTTTCCAACACTCGTTAAACTAATGCAAATTCGAAGAAGACTTCATGGTGCAGAAATTGGAGTTGATCAATCCCTGGGGGATGCACCACGCATTCGACTTCATTAAGCATCGTTTGGAGGTGATCGATTGCATATCTGGCCTTTATTCGCGGTGGCCTACCGAGGTATCGAGCCAGTGCTGCCATGGATAATTTACCTATTGATTATAAAAAGAGCAGCGAAAAGATTCTGTGCGCCAAAGTAAACGATCACAAAGAAAGTGATTACTATATAGCGCATACGTGCCACTCGAAGAGCGGCGCATGTACAGTGTAGTGCCCGTGTTGTCGCGAATGGGAGATGAGTAAACGATAATTCTGATCGAACTAGAGAGGTGATTCTCTGAGGCTTACCTGGTGACTGCCGACATCCGTAACCCAGTAGTTTCCTTTATGATCGACAGCCAAACCATGTGGCATATAGAACATGTCTTTTCCATGTTCTTCGATGATCTGAAATAATCGGACTTTTCTCTGCAAATACATTAATAGAATATAAACTTAATTTCCAGATTTCCAATCCAACGGATGTATCATGGCCTCCGAATTTTCTATTGATTCACCTGATGACTTCTTACGCCGTCGTTCATGAATCGCCTACGCTTTTAGATAACTATTTTGACATGTTCAAATTCTTCTCTTGGAATTTCCAGATAGTCATGTGACATGAAGCCCCTTCTTTATCGCCACAAACAATCGTCTATCACAGTGTCGGAGGTGAAGTCTGCGGTCCAGTGACCAACGTAGGAAAAAATGAGATGCCCTTTATGGGCTGGACTTTTGTGTGAAAACGTCAGTTCTTTAAAAACCGACCTTACTTAAACCTCGTCAATAGTCAGTAATTTTTTATACGACTCAGCTGACACGAGAGTGGTATGAAAATTTTTATTTAGCTAAAGTTTGGGCCCCTTCGCCTTCCTCAAAGCCGCGGTGAAAAATTTGATCAAAAAGTTTTATAAAAAAGTTTCCACAACAAGCTCATATCAGCTCAGTCATGTAGAGAATTATTGTCAAACTTGATTGTTTTAAGCTACTGGCAAACTCCTTATTCCCATAGGTGACCATCCCAGAGGATGCATTTGTTATGCATTGCAGTGCCTGCTTTAGAGCATGGAGGTCGCCCTCTTGATCGCGAATACCTGTCCAATCAGGCTAAGTACCCAACAAACTTTGATTATAAGTAATACGTGTGGATGCATTTGCATCGCCAAGGAATTGATTACCACTGAAGAACCTTATTTTTTCATCTTCTTTTCACCTGTAGTGAATCCCATTAATGATCTAGTGGCCAACGAAGTCCACAGTTATTCGATCTATAGAGTGTGATCTGCTCAGTCAAAACACATGAATAGCATGACATCTGTACGGTATCCCTAGTTTATCGCAGCAGTCTTTGCCGAATTGATGCATCCGAGTATGTGCAGGCCTAGTAAAGCGCGTATGCGTAAATAGATGTCACTCGAATGCGACTTATACAAACTAGCACGGCATAGCACTGATAGAACACCCATCTCCTTAACAATTTTCCGGTATACTGTGATTTTCTTGACCTGGTTCGTGTATGCTTTGCCACCTGGAGAGATGTCACGCAGCATCGTGATTGCCTTGAGATAGCTCATGTGAGGAAGATCAATGCGAATTGTAAGAATGAAAATTACATCTAGAAGAATGGTATAAGAAAAGTAAGATAATAGGACAACAGCATTTTATAATGCAATTGATTACAGAGCTCCGATTTCTACTACATATTATATACTATAGCAACAGCTTGAAAAGTCCTTCCTCGATTCATCACAAGGGCAAAGGAGTGCTCCATTTGTTTTAGTACTAGTCAACATAGCATTTGTACATGGACGCTGATTACTGCGGGTATGGCATGCGATTTGCATTATTCGCACTTCAGTTCACCAACATACAATCTTAAAACGGGGCAGTAGCGCAGTGGTAGTGATGATGATCGTCACAGTCAAGGTGTTGGATCAATCCCGCTCATGGATTAACTCTGCTCCGGGCTCACCAAGCCGCTCCTCGTTGCGAGATTAGAAGATTAGTACTGGACTTGTCGGGGGAAAGTCCATTCCTTTAAATACAAATGGGAACGCTCTAATTTGGCTATCTTAGGACTCAGGTATAACCAATTCAAGCAGGGCTCAACGACATTCATCACGAAGTAAAATTCTCAAGCAGTAGCCGATCACAAGCACGAAAGTTGGTGGACCTTCTGGACGATAGACGCAAAGAAAAGAAGGGATTGCAAGAACTGCTAGAATCGACACAGTAGATTTGAAAAATGGGTCGTGTGAAATGAAACAGAATAACCATCTATAAATAATCAGAAATTGTCCCTAGATATATTAATTCCAACCGAAGAAGAAAGGTATTACAAGAAATGTAATGCTTGAGTTCTTTTCTACTTCTTTGTACTATTACTTCATACTTCACGTCTCGAGAAAGTGCAACAGGGTTTTTTGTTCCTTCTTAAGACTGATAACGTTATGTTTGGCTTCTAATGATCGTCTTTTACGATTACGTCCAGTCCAAATTCAATCCAAAGGGCATTCTATAAAAAGGGTAGCCGTTGCAATATTGCGACTTCACATCATATTGGAAAGAAACCTCTTCGTATGGTATTTATTCATGCCGCCCAATTTCTGCCCTCTTAAATGGAAAAGGAATTTATTTAAGGCTAGGAGCGCTCAAAAGTATCCTATAGCGGAATAGTGAATGCGGCTCAAATTCCAATTTTGTAAGTGTACCGTGTACGACCCAAGAACATCAACTACATCCACCAAACCAAATAGACTTGAATTTATCATTCTTTCTTTCTCGACTACAAAGACTTTTACGATCGACTAACCAGAGTAGAAAATACTTGGAAGAAATAATGGAATCAAAAATTTATTCGCTAGCAAAATTTTCCGGACAGGGTTACGAGTCCGCAGTATGAGTGAACTGAGTGAGTATGACAGTGCCTACAACTGAACCCGATACGCAGAGACGAGTTCCATCTCCAAACTTCAGTACTGCTGCATTCACTGTGCTACTTGTAATTCATCAGATGTACCGCCATGAGGTCGTCTCTCTCCATTTTTCACTTCAACCAATTCTCTGGCTTCATTACGAGAGGATCTTTTCTACTACTATTGCTACGTACAATTCGAATTGACAAGTATTCTTGCATTCTCCATATGTGTACGAAGAGAACCTCATCTCCTACGAAAGGTCTCTATATAAATTCATAGTAACTAGATCGCAATGTTAAGAATAAGCAAATTAGAAGCCATATATAGACCAAAGGCTGTTTTCTCCGCAAGCCACTACACGATTTCCAACAAATTCGTGTAGGAATACGAATAGGAATCTACGAATATCCGAAGCGAACTGCATGTTCATCCTTCAAATTAAACTACACAGTAAGTAACTGCCACGACCGACTTTCTATTAACCTCGGCATTGATCAAGTGATTTTCTTCGTATTTTTGTTGAGCAAACGCGAGGTGTTACTATTCTTTGTTCACGATTACTAGTATAGTATACTTAGTGGAAACCTCATAGAAAGCGGCTCTGAAGAAGGCGAAATTCGCCGAAACGTCAGCTTAATCGTGAACAAAGAATAGTTACACAGTAAGTATTTCACATCATACTCTGTCGTGAAAAGTAATACTAGGCAGTAAATAAAAAGTTAACACAGTAAGATTTCTGTTGTGCGACATGTATAAAATTGCTCTACAACTATTCAAGTGGAAAATAATGGAGAATAATAGAAAACAATCAACACAGGTCACCTCCATCGTTGGAAACAAACATACTAAGCCTCCGATAGACTGCGGATATGCTTCTCAACACTATGACTCAGCGCCTCTAACTGTATGCACATCGGGCCAAATCTTTCACATCGTCTACGTCGAAAGAGTCATCTACACAGGAATCTGGTGCGAAAAATTCTGTCGATTTCAGATAAGTGGCTCTATTTCACTTTTCGAAAATTCTCGTTGATATGGTCACGTGTGAAATTAGTCATCTTGGGTGAAACCAACGTGAGAAAAACGTCCTCATTATACAATAAAGCTCCATCGAAATACACGCACTTTTAACCCCTGCCCATTTGTTTATTCATGTATTTTTTTTATAAAATTCCAAAGCTACTTCTGCGTTAATCTATGAAAACTATGAAGGAGTCCCGTAAAAACCTTATTGTTGGATAGTGGATAATAAATCGACGTCAACTGATAGGTGTCCTAGTGCTAGTCGAGTCCAATCAAGTGATGTTCACTCCCGATTCATAGATAATTACAGAAATCGGAACAGAAAGATACCTTTCCATTACTTGTGTCGATGACAGCGATTGTGAAGTTTTTGATTGGGCCGAGCTTCTTGTTGAACACACCTTTTCCGTCAAAAGAGCTGAAAATAACACTTTTGAGTTATTCCATCATGAAGCAAGATTTGAATACTTCATTGTTTTTCGTCATGCTAGGGCTCGCACAATACGGTAAGATGGGCAGCCCGAGGGTTCAAGTACGGTAGTGCTGATGGAATAACTATCGATAGAATACTTAACCTGAAGATTAGAGGACTCTTGATTAACACTGTCTTGTCTCGATCGAATACATTAATTATTTCATTCTCGTTCGTTTTTCTACCACCATAAAAATTATACCTACCACTCTTTTACTGTTCTTTTCCTGCAGTGTTACTCAGATCTAACCCTCACCCGACTTCTCAATGTTAAGAGCAACAGAAGGAAATACTTTCACAACTTTTATCAACAGTATTTGATAAGTATGATAAATCACTAAGAAGACACATAAATAACGATGGCCGTCCTTACGAAGAGGCTACAAGCTGCAGAAGACTCGTTTCAAAAATGATTCACTAGCTACACGCTCTCGAAAGTTCCACCGTAAAAAACTGTACCCACACATCTTGTGTCCTTTCGAAAGGCTGACTAGCCGTTCCCAAATGCAAAATTAGTCCCAAACGAATCCCTAAAATCAGCAAGAAGCGATCAATCCGTGACGGATAACTAGGCTGTTGTCAAGTGAGCGGCGGAAGGCGGGAGCAACAGACGAAGCTCAGAGTCAAAAACTGCTGCCCACTAAAGGAATCACAGGAATGAGGAATGATAGGAAAGGAGAGCGTGGGATAAAAAATTCAGCAGCGTATATGGATTGATAGTGCCATAACCATCTGAAGTACCTTGTCCCACATTTGCCGCTAACCTGTAACGCTACATATGGATACCGCAGTGTCCATATGCCCATGGACAAAGGAACGGTACGGACACTATGGTGTCCATTTTCAGTCTAGAGCGTTCCAGAAATTCTTCTTTTGCACAATGTATACTCATTCGATAGGTAATCGAAAGCAGATCAGAATAGTACGGGTGCGACCAGAACAGTTTTTATTTTCCTTACTTTAAAATTCTTTACATTTAATCCTTTAAAAAACCTATTTTCAAAAAAGTTAACTAACTGGTAGTTTTACTAACAATAATCTGTTCTTTCATTTTAATCCCTATGCTCATCGCGTGTGGCGCAGTGGTCGGAGGCTCCCTGCAACACATACGTTGGATCAATCCCCGCGCTCATGCCCCACCAAGCTATCCATTCCTCCAGGGTCGGCAAACTGGTACCAGATTTGTCTAGGAGGGTATCAGCACTGGCTCGATACATCGGTAGGCCACCGCGAGTCATTGCACGGGCCAGATATGCATCGAATCACCTTCAAACGATGCTTAATAAAGTAGAATGCATGGCGCATCCCTCAGGGATTGATCAACGCCGAGAGCTTTGTTCTTTATCCTTTATGGTCATCGCATAGAATGTGTGGATATAAAAAACGCGGGAATGGATACGACTTAACCAAGGATGTAAATACTTCAAAATGCTGACAGCAATGCATTTTCAAAATGGACCATAGTAACACAAAGTAGTTGGTAGCATACATACCATTCATTAGCATTGAACGATAGAGTAAGCTCTCTTCTATCTCTGAGAGATCTCTTCAGAGATTCTGTCGTCTTCGCAACCCCCAAAGCTCTTTGGTTTTTTAAAAAACTATATTTATTACAGTTCCCAGGATCGACTTTCTCTTAACCTCGGCATTGGAATATGAATGTGTCGTTTTCTTGTTCAGCAATCGCGAGGTTTTTAAACAGCATACATTTACTTCCATAAAAACACAACACAATACAACGCTAGCAGACGTTTCGACAGTATCGCCTTCTTCAGAGCCGCTTTTTCGTGACTTCCAATGAGGAAGTTTAGAACAGCTGATTAATCATTAATTAAATCAGCTGATTAATCAGCTGTTCTAAACTTCCTCATTGGAAGTCACGAAAAAGCGGCTCTGAAGAAGGCGATACTGCCGAAACGTCAGCTAGCGTTGTATTGTGTTGTGTTTTTATGGAAGTAAATGTATGCTGTTTAAAAACCTCGCGATTGCTGAACAAGAAAACGACACATTCATATATTTATTACAATTTTAACCTTTTTATTTACAGCCTATTCTTTTAACGGCATGGTATGTTGCGAAACATAACTTCTATAATGCTGAGATATTTGCAAAACTCCGGACCGCAGGTGTCTGCGGTGAGGAACGAACGCATTATTGTCCTTTCCGGAGAGTAACGCGTTCACCACCACACCATGCGTGTCCTTCGTTTCGCCTGTCTTTCAGCTAGTTCTATCGATCTTTTTGCCATTAGCAATCACCCGTCAACGGGATTGATCTGGAGAATCCAAATCGGCATTGAACCCAGTTAAGCCGAGGATATAGTTATAACCATAATCTTAACATTTTTATTTACTGCCTATTCTTTTTAATGAAGGACCCGCATGGTGTGGTGGTGAACGCGTTACTCCCCGGAAAGGACAACAGCGCGTTCGTTCCCACCGTAGACACCTGCGGCCCGGAGTTTTGCAAATATCTCAGCATTATGGAAACTATATTTATTGTCAAAAAACTAGGAAGTCCGTAGTCGAATAAAACTGCTCGTGTTATATTTCATTCGCAGCTGCGCTAAATGGCGCATATCCGTTAGTGGTTAATGTCGTTATTTGTTCAACGAATGTTCAACAAGCAGCAATAAATCTGTCAAGCAAAGAAATCCCAGACAGCTAAAGGCACTTTGCTTAAGGAGCAGTAATCAGCAAATTCACTCCGTTCATGTGATATGTTCATGTTCTTTGAAGAAGTTCCTCTTTTGAACATAAGCTACCAGTACCTTTTCTATTTGCTAGGGCAGTCACTTACTCCGATGACTTTACGTGTTTAAAAGAAATGGCGGCTGCACTGGAAGCTTTTCTCCCTTAGTAGGCTCGTCATACAATTTCCCCAGTTAGTCTGGATTTACGAAAGATTTCCTTCTTATTCTCCTATTTGCACTTCTATTAGGTCCTATTCAAGCTGAGATATCGATCGTCTGAAATGACGCAAAACAGCTCACTTCTGGTTCCATTCACGGTTGGCTCTGTGAAAAGCGACAAGCCGTCCCTTTAGATCCATAGTTAGTCCAGAGATTTCTCCAAGAATCTTCGAAGTCGGCAGAATGAAGGCCTGAAGTGAAGCTTATGAGCGCTGCCATTTCTGATAACACTAATGATCGGCTCAAGCACTCAGATTGTATTGTTTAGAACCCATTCGTTTGAAAAGCGATCCAAAAAAACCACGGTTTTCCGTTATCCTTATTTGCGAACATAAGAATTTCATATGTAGTCTCATTATTTAGAGTGGAAACCTATGAGAACAAATGATAGTTCGTGGACTTGTTAGGAATACTGAAAGAAAGCAACATACGTTCTAAAACGCTTTCTCTCAGGTTACTGCTGAACTTAGTCTTGTGGGATAACGTCGAAAAGAGTGATTTCGAGAATAAAGAAAAGCTGGGAGCAGTCTGGGTGAAGTTATATTTGATTGTTCTTTCAAACTTCATGTGATTAGATTCCGTTTCTCATGATGAATCGAACGACGATTGTCATAAAGCAGTTTCTCAAATGACCCCTTGACTCGATTTAAATTTGAATTCTGCAAAAACTTCAACTAAGAATTTAAGTGCATAGGAGATACTACTTAAAAATGCTGTGCTCTCAGAACAGTTCTTCCTTACGATTATTAAAAACAATGCATGAGCTGTCGTATAAAGAGGATAGAAATACCACGGTTTCAGCTGCTGGAAGAATCTTCTCGTGATGATCCGATCTACAACTCTAAATTCGACCATAACGCATTTCTGTTGAGACTACTAAGTGTAAGACGCTCAGCACTATTGAATTACTTTCAAAGTCTTGCTTCTTGGTAGGAAATGGATTTCTGTTCTCACTGAGGCGACGTAGAGCGAACTTAACCCTTTACAAGCACTGCATAAAATAACCTCTGAAGGAGGACTACTACCGTGAACATATTCATTATTTTTATTATTATTATTGAGTTATACTGGAAAGAGTACCCTGAGCTGTTGTTCGCTGATGAATTGACCTATACCCGGGTTAGTGGACAGCGGGCCACTCTCTGAAGAAGGTATTAAAATAGCACTGCACACTTCTCTCCTATCAGCCGCTATAGGCATTCTTTTCTTTTGAGCTCATGAGAGGCTTGTGCTTTATGATGCAGTTGGCATACCTCGCCTTGTTCGCCCTCCTCGTATTCTAACGGTACATCATCGTCGATCGGAAGTTCTTCTCCTCCTTGTATGTTATAGAATTGGAGACCATCGTCTTGAATTGGTGGTCCAGGAGCAGCATAGGTTATGGCAAGCAGAGCCAGAAGCGACGGGACGCTCGTCATCTCGTCAAGTGTGAGGCCCCATGGTGATCGATACGAGACCTCGGACACCGCTCCTCCCCAGGCCTTTTTTTTCTCACGTCATCTGACGAGGAAGAAGGGCCAATTCAGCAGCGTAGGCGACGTGCGTGGGTACGGTTGTCCTCTAAATCAACGAAGCACTTTAAAAGTGTAGACGGCTCACAAAATATTAGACCGCCAGCACACTCATATCTGGTGTGTCCTTCCCAAGTTGTTGTCTTCATATTTATGACGCGTATGCGAATATCTCAGTAAGGAAATCTCACCGCATTATTCGCTCTCAGCTTTTCTTTCCGATTCTGCTTTTTTAAAAGCTCAATATTGATACTTGTAGTTCTCTGTAATACATCGTTGTATCCATTCCCTTTCATAGTGCTAACTTAAAATAAACGGAGATATATCTAACAATTCATACATCGTGTAGACTCAGTTTACGCATTTTCATGACGGTACGCCTTGATTTCAACGTGTACTGTGTGAAAATAGAGGCTTTTTTCACTTTTTCCACTGTTGATCAACATAGAAGGACAAAGCTCTTAGCGTTGATCAATTCCTCAGCGATGCACCATGCATTCGATTTTACTAAGCACCGTTTGGAGGTGATTGAATGCATATGCGGCCTTTACAATGACTCGCGGTGGCCAACCGATGTATCGAGCCAGTGCTGCTATCCTCCCAGACAAGTCTGGTGTCAATTTTCCCACCCCGGAGGGATGGAAGGCTTGGTGGGTCAGAGGCGCGGGAATTGATTCCACGTGTGCATTGCAGGGCGCCTCCGACCACTGCGCCTTAATCAACATATCTCGGATTAAATTTGACCTTTGTTAGTTGTGCAATCAAAACTACTGAAATTATCAGATCTTTAATAACAGTGTACAACTTCCCTCATTCCTTTGGGATTAAATTCTGACTATCTATAACTCTCGAAACCTCTTTTTACCAACTTTCCTTCTTTATGTCGGGGTTCATAATTTAAACATGAAGGTTGTTGAGCAAGGGAAATCTCGTGTAGCAGCAAATAATGATGTTCTGCAATTCTCGTTAGTGTTTGCGAGGAGGATGTCAAAAACTTGGGATTCTTATCCAATTTTTGAAAATTGCCAAACGAATTTGAAAATAAATATGGAGATCTCGCATGAATTGTCTATACCGTTAAAGAAATAGAGAAAAATCTGAGTCTGTCCTTTATTTCTGAAGAGTTCTGGTTTATTGCGGAAGTTATCGACAGTATCGAAAAAGCCAGCTTCTCTGCAAATGGGCATCAGTTGCTATGGTGATGATCAACTTCCGTGTTTCGTCCTTGATTTTAGTCAATAAAAGGTGGTATTAAGCGAGCATGACAGCGAAGTGACAGTTTTCTTGAAGTCTACACACGGAAGGGAAAGCAAATGAAACCATTCTGGCACCGATCAATACAGTGGAAAAAACTGATCTATTATCTTATCTTCTGTTATAAGTTAGCGACGTTAGGAATATCGTTCGAAAGCAGTCATCTATCTGGTTATAGGCTTGCCCACAATGTGAGATCCACTGGCGGTCGTCGACCGTTTTACTATCATATTCCACGTTCAGCAACACAATGCTTCAATTTCGGTCTACCAAGCACAGATCTATTTATTTTAAGTAAGCTCAATACGTCTAACGCGAAAAAACTTGGCATAAATCAACAGAAACCAATGTAGAATCATACATTTAATTTATTCAAATCCGCCGACGAGTCCCATGCATATTTATCTCAGTGTTGTCCGGCAATTTTTACACAGTTTCCGCAACAAGGTGATAAGGCAGTCATCGTTGATAAGTTTGTGAGCTCAGAACTTTTCCGGGCAGAGTAATTCGGCTGCCATGCAAACTCACGAGTGACCAGCCGTTCACGTGGTATTCAGAAGTTGGGCAATTGTTCCACAACAGTTCAGTTAGCTGGCTGAGCGTATGATATTTATTAGATTTCCACGAAATGGTGTGAAGGACACCACGTCAGCCCTCTGAAAACGTAATCGCAGGTTCGCATTCCAACTGGCATTCCAACTGAAGTGCCAAGTTTTGCTCACATCTTAGCGTCCTTATGGTTCTATCAAGACGTTTTATATAAGGGTCAACCACCCAGTGAATTTTTTTGAATTCTTGTGCGATGGTAACTTTTACTTCAAAATCTTCCCTGTTATGACTCTGGGTTCTGTGCGCGCCTAAAGGAGTATTTGATTTAAGTTTATCGACTAGATGCTCTTTTACACGGACGCAGTAGCATCGCCGTTTCGCTAATATGTATTCGTCTCCGCACACGAGATCAAACAAAGCGTACACGAACTCATGCAATCATCATTTCTACCGTGAGGGCATACCATGCAGTTTTGTGTTGTACATAGATGGTCATAACGGCGGTGACGAACTATGTGGCGTCTGGTAGTGCCCACTGATATTTCAATCACTGTTAGCTAAAAAAATTCTAGACCGGCCCTTTCTAAGCGATTTCATAGCTGGCTGCAGTTGATTTGTAGGAAATAGAAGGCAAGATAAACTGGACCTTGTTCGCGATAGAATTACTATTTGAGGGTGCTTTTTCCTCCACATCTATCCCGAGGAAGCATAGTTTCGTAGCCATTGGGAACGGTTATTTTCCGCGCCAATTTCAGGGATTCTTTCTTCTGTTTTCTTCCTGTGCACCACACATTGGTGGCTATTCAAAACATGTTTCTTGCAAGCGCCTTTTTGTGTGTGTAAGGGGTGAGAGGAGACGTAATCAACCAGTATGTTTTTGTTACCTGGCTTTCGGTAACCCTTCGCGATGTAGCCATTTTCTGACAGCTTAATTCAAGAGTTCAGAAATGGAGGTAAGTTTCCTTTTGGTTTTTATCGGACAAACATATATATATCTACAGCAGAATAATGGCTGGAAATCGATTACTGGCGCTTCCACCTTAGACGTAAAGGCAATGGCAAGACTTGGTGGCAGTCGCTATCCCATTACTAACTCTCTAATTAGTGTGTAATATTGCCCTGAGCATCGGAAGATCGAGCAGTTTAGGCACACTTTTAGGAGGACCATGAAGTGTTGAATCCTGATGCCATACATGTTTATTGCTTCTTCGCATTACATTGAGAGTTAGAGGATAAATTGCCTAGCGGAATCATTCGACATGCTTGTATAGGGGACGGTAACGATGAACGACTCCAGCGCATGAGCACTGGTAGGACGCGCGTTGCCTAGACGATCCAAGAACATCTTGGATGATCGTAAGATGGGCAGGAATGTGTTTTAACAATTGGGTATTACAGTTAAGACCCATGTTACGGGTAGACGACTGCGTCCGTATAGAAGAAAACCTAAACCATAATCTTAAAGTTAGATCAAATATTCCACCAAACGCGCGTAGGACACAATGAGACAACGGAGAGATTTTTGAAGTAGAAGTTACCATCCTCGCACAAGAATCAAAAACTTCAACTCACGGCATTCTGAATAAGTTCCAAGAATCCAAAAATGAGCCGCAAAGAAGAATGCCTCGTCATCACACGTGATTTCACACAATGTTGAAAACTGATATTTTAATGAGAAAGAGGCACACTACCCATCCATGTAAACTCCTAGCGGTTGGTCACCACGTGAAATACCCACTAGAAGATTCGTAGGAAGCGGTGAGTGTGAGAAGAAGCGTTTTGTTTCCAATGCGATTAGAATCTTAATTTCGTGACTTCTCTGTTTTGTTTACGGGGGTATTTGACTGACAAAATTAAAGTCAACTTTATCCTTCCAGGCTCTGAAGAAGGCGAAATCCGCCAAAGCGTCAGGATTTTCGATGAATAAAGAATAAAATAACGACTTCGTGTTAGTTCATTATGAAAGTAGTGACTTATTATGGTTTATGCATTTTTGTAAACCGGATTTCACCTAACCTCAGTATAGATGGTAAATATCTCTTCCAATGGTCAGATAAAAGAGGCTAATAAAAAACTTTCTTCCGCTGTTTCGGCTCCTAAACCGGAATTATCCGAGTCGACTGCACTGTGGGTAAATTGCACATTTTACTTGGTCGACTATTAACAGGGTCCCACTATCCTAGAAAATCCTAGCCGCACGGCTTCAAGGCTCTGATCCATTACGCACAATTCTGCGAATGCCTCTGATTAGCACAGTTAAACCGTATATCAGCATTCAACATGTTAGTAAGTATTCCTCCAAAGATTTACCGCTTCACTGTGGCTGGGAGGTGTTCTTGGGTGTTGGGCCGTGATATACAGCGGAGAGATTCGTCCCAACGGCAAGGTCTCCCAAACTAAGAAGGAGTCCGGCGTTTCCGTCAGGAAGTCGAGCTAAGACCACTGATCCACAAGGGCGGTGATTGCTTGTGGAGGTGACAACCTGGGGCAGACTTTCGCCTGGCTGATCTCGGGACTCCAAGGAACCTCAATGGCTAAACCAGCAAAACTCCGAAAAAATGGAAATTTTGCTGGGACCCGCATAAACGGTGAAGACGGACCATCCATCTATTCAAGTATCCAAGTAAGTGAGTATTACTACTATCTTCTAGCAGGAACCGAACTATTAAGTTCTCCGGAAATTAACATCCTCCGACATCTGTTTTGAATATGGCATACCCCGACTCATCATAGATTTTGTTAATCCCAGCAAAACCACTAGAATCCCTACACTTTTGGTAATGAGGAACAAATATGGCAGTTGCAATAATTCTGGACTTAGGGAGGCTAAGAACTCGTTGAAGACAGGTTCGGCCTTCGCTCCGTTTTTAAAGCATTTCTAGCAAGGAAAGTTGTCGAGATGCTTGAAGAAGTGATATTCGGTGTGAAAGGGGTCTGAGTGTGTAATGGAAGAGGCAGAGTTTAGTGGCCCAACTCGCCAACTTTTGCAGCATCCTCTGCACGACGAGTCGCCGCTTGTGATCGTAGAGAATTAGTCCCTTTCTGTTGACCAGTTGACCAATACAAAAGACAAACATTGAAGCATCTGGTGCAGTTCGTCGATA